CCCCAAAACCCCAAAACCCCAAAACCCCATCAAATTGAATATAGTAATAATAATTGAATTTAAATTTTAACTGATAAATGAATTCATACGAAAATACTTCAAAAAGTCCATTTAGTGCTACATCATCAGGGTAAAGAGGCTCTTCTATACTGACAAATATGAAAGCAATGATCTAGAATTAAGATCAAAAGCTTTAATAAAAGTTGCAAGCTCTAAATGACCTGAAAGAAAGCATGACTCAGCCAACAAAAATTGGTTTGGCAACTACTAGTGATAGTTTTAATCGAACCAGAGTGTTAACTAAAGACTATCATAGCCATTAGCGTGAACAAATGGAAAATATAAATACCTCTTACAAGTGGGGTAGCACGTAGGATAACTTATCTATAGGGAATCAGAGCCAACTGCTTTCAGACATGCAATTTGAGAGATAGAATGAAGATCCAGAGCTAAGAAAGCTCAGGGACAAATATCTCGAAAATAATGAAACAAACATTTCTCATGCTGACTAAAGATTTGAATAGTAGCTGGGAACTACTCAAACTGCAACTACTTCTCAAAATCAGCATCAAAGAAATCAATCTTTCTCTTATATGCCAAAAAAAGAGGAAGTGTCTCATAGATCATCCATTAATAAAAGTTTTGAAATTGGAGTTCACCAGAGATAGCAATCATATGTCTTGAGAGACGTTCATAATGAGAAAAAGGAAATATTGCACAAAATCTTTTAAAGATCAAGAGAGAGTTCTCCAAAAGATCAGTATTAAAAGGTATCAGACAATCAAAATAATGAAAGATTAATTGAAAGAGAAGTAAAAACTAATGGTGATGATCAGTTTTTCAAATAGTATTTGACTTAACAGTATTAAGAACCTACTCATATTCCAAAACCAAATAAGAAATTCTAACCTTTAAATCTTGATGTGCTTCATGATAAGCAAAGATATATATCAAATTTGAATCTGAATCCATCAAACAAAGAAATGACTAAGCCTCTTAGTGACATGATTAATGATATTACAGAGAGAACTGATTGCACCTAAAGTGGAAAGACTCTGCCAAGATAAGAATTCTACTAGAAGAGAATAGAATCAAAAGCATAGAGTGTTAAGAGCTTAGTACCACACTTAAAACTACCCTCAAATGAGAGTAACAGTAAATCTCAAAACAGATAGTAAAATGCTAAAGAGAGCTCGTCTTTCATTAACTCAGATATAATGTCAATTAAAAACATGCAGAGAGACCAAAGTTCATGCTTAAACAAAATAAAAGATAGATTAGAAAAACAAGAAACAGAAATTGTTGTAAATATCAATAAGAGCGTAGAAAGAATAGCTTCAGAATTGTAATAGCTTAAAAATCAACTTTTTCAGTAGAAGAATGATGATGATTCAAGATTCATGAAACTACAAAAAGATGTAAAAGACATAAAGCATTATCTTAAGAGAAAGAGTAAGAAGCAAAGCAAAAGACATTTGGGAAAAGAAAATAGCGGAGCCAATATTGTTATGAATACAGGTTCAGACATTCACTATGGAGGCCAAAAATCCTCATCTCATGGCTAATATCTTAGTAATGATGGCCTTAGTAATGCTGAGATGCCTTGCTATAACAACTTAAATTCTCCTTCAAACTTTGAATACGATCATAATGCAGAGAGATAGCCATATGAAATTGGATCTGCTCACTTTGGATAGGAAAAAAATCTCTAAAATTAAAGAAGATCAGAAAGAGGCTAACGAAATCAATAATAGATGCAGCCACTATAAGAAGTACATCTTTAAAATGTTTAAAATTCTAAAATACCTCCATAACCCTCTCATACCTCCTCAAGCAATCAATACTCCTAAAATCATCACTACTAAACATAAGCCCCTTAATAAGATAGAAGTCCAATAAATGATAATAGAGTTTATTATGATTTCCAAACTTTAAGCAACTAGAATAATCAATCATGTGCCCCTATCTACGATGAGTTCCCTTAAAAGCTCCCATCGAATTTAAATAACTCTTATCAGTAGAGATCTAGAGATCATAACCATTATAATCAAAATGAACAAACTCTAACTCTAAACTTCGAGATTGAGAAGGTGAGAGAAGAGTCTTAGAAGAATATCAAAGACTTAAAATCTTTCTATGAGACTCAGCTATAATAGATGAGAGAAGAATTCTAAAACAGAGAGATTATATTGAAGGATAAGATGAAGTCATAGATATAGGATAGTATGACTTAAGAGAGGTAAAAATTAGCTGACTAGCTATAATTACTTGAAAGAGAGAAAGCTCAACTTCACTTCAAAATTTAATAATAGTACAATCAAGAAGCAAACTAGTATAGAGAAGGCTAAGTTATTTAAACTAAAACTTAAATTTCACCCTCTCTAAACTAAGATATCAATTTTAAGCAGCAATAAATAAAAGCCAATTATCATCATTAGATTAAAATTCATCAGAATCCAATTGCTTCAAATGAAAAAATTCCCAAGGATGATCAGTTTTCATCAATCGAAAATGGAGAAGTTGTTTCATCAAAGAAAGAACAAAGAAGGAAAACTAGAGAAAGCAAGAGATCTAAGGACTATTCAAATATTCCCATCGCTCACCCAAGTAATTATGTTTCTTCAGCTGGTAGAAGAAAGAATTCAGAGAGACAAAGAGATAGTAATAATCTAAACTATAGTATTCCAATATCAAGAGGCAATCAAAAAGAAAATACATATAATTAAATTAGAAGTCACAATAGTGGTTCCAATAACTAGCCTAATGATAAGCTATACATGAAAGAGAAAGAGATCCTGAATAGAATTAATAAGATAGAAAGTTTCCTTAACAGAGCTTGAAGAAACTCTTTATTGATTAGCCTAATTCACTATAAATTGATTGAGCTATATTTTAATTTATAATTACTTAAATTAAAATTTTAATTAAAAGTTTGCCTGAGGATGGAAAGCCTTAAAACTAAGGAAGTTTAAAGTGATACAATGATAGCAGACTAACTCGAAGTACTAAAGAACATTTCAAATCCTAGCCATGATAGAGCATATGTAAAATAATTAGTTAAATGATAAAATAGGGTTGTATTATTGGCGCTTATGTGGGAGATGCTTCTGGTGGAGTGTTAGAGTTTATGAAATCAATAACAAAAGAGCAAGTCAAAAATGCACTTACTTTTCCAGGTGGAGGAGCTATGGGCCTAGGAAAAGGATAAATAACTGATGATTCTGAAATGGCTCAATGTATTCTTCATGGTATATTGGAAAGTCAAAGAGAGAAACTAGATAAGACTTTGATACTTGATTTGGATAATATTACAAAATATTATGGAATGTGGGTATAAGAAGCTTTTGGTAAGATTAATTCACTTTTAATAATTTCTGATAGATATCGGAAATACTACATATAATGCCTTAAATGTTATAGATTATTACAATCCTAGGCCACTTGATGTATTTCTAAATGTGGCTACAAACTCCTATAATCACTCTCTTAGCAATGGGTGTCTAATGAGAATTACACCTTAAGCTGTTTGGGGTTCTCAACTCAGTAATGAAGATCTAAATTTAGCTGTGGAATTACAAACTAACTTAACGCATGTTTAATAAAAGTGCATCGAAGCATGCCAACTCTATTGCTTAGCTATTAAACATCTTATCAATAACCCAGGTGATGCAAAGGGTGCTTACAAGTTAGCAAAATCCTAAGCAAAGGAAACAAAAAATTGGTTTGAATCAATTAGTCAGTAAAAGCTTCCGAATCCTAAAGTCCACATTGGGGATGCTGTTATTGCATTTAGCTACTCCTTTGATTTCTTGAAGAAAGTCATTGATAACAAATTATTGACCTTCGAATAAATCATATAAGAAACTTTATTATTAGGAGGAGATACTGACACTAATGCTGCAATTGTTGGAGGATTGCTTGGAGCATATTTTGGAGTAAAAAATATACCAAATAATTGGATTAAATCTATGTTAAACTTTAACAATTTTGAAGAAAGTGGAATTGATGAAGGCATAGAAAGATCTAAATTTCTCATCCCAAGATATAACTTAATTGATGATATCAATACTTTAATAAGACATGCCCCTAAAACATTATAGGTTAAGTACATGGGATAGATTTATGAAGATTTAGAATCTATTAAAGTCATATTACCTGAAGCAAGATAAGAAAGAGTAGCGTCTCTATAAGTTAGCTTAAAATAAATGTGATTTCCATTGATTTTATGTTGATTTAGTTGTAATTTAAGTTAGATTAAATTATTAAAATAATCAGATTTTATCAGTTATTTACTAGACGGGGTTTTGGGGTTTTGGGGTTTTGGGG